ATATCCAAGTTTTTATTTTTGGAAATCAGGTCAGCCTACTTCTTTGCAAATTATCAGGATGGCAGAAAGCATCGTACTCAGTTTCTGTTTCACTTTTTCTTCTCTTCTGTTCCTTGCATTTATATCCAAACTCCTCTTCCTTGCCCAGACCTGTTCCATAATCTCAAATTCTTTGTACAGGTAGTCATCGCTTAACAACCATTCATTCAGTAGTTATGCCCAGTCCCCAAAGTTACAGCTGTTGCAGCACCCCTGTAGTCACATGATCAAAATTCGGGCACTTGGCAGCCCGTCCACACTTACAATCACAGGGGCACTTCAACTCCCCCCGCCTGCCTGTCTACCTCCCCCCCATCTCTGCCCTTTTGGTCTCCCTGCACTCTGCCACCTCTGCTGCCCTGGGCTCCGGTCGCCCTGTGGTGAGCTAGTGGATTTGATGAATTTTCAGATGCCCTGCTTTAATAAGTAACTGTAGAGAAATTATAATTAAAATATTGCTATGGCTAATGTGCATAATTTTTTCTGTTTGAAGAATATGTATAATGATATGCATTTTTCTTCCACAGACAAAAGCAGTTGGGCTGCTTGATGCAGATGTATATGGGCCATCCATACCAAAAATGATGAATCTGAAAGGAAATCCAGAAGTGACATCAAGTAAGTCTGGCCGAATATCACAATTATCCCAGAAACTGAAGCTACTGAATTGGAATACAGTATTTTAAAGAAAATAGTGAGATGTAGCAATGATTTGGTGTGGTGGAAGTAAAAGAAAATATGTCATCATATCCAATTGAATTTAAATGGTAATTGGATGGAGGAGACAGTACATATGTATATGAAGGAACATTGTTCCTTGGTTCAATAAAAGGACTTTGAAACCATATATGCTTTAGAATCAGACATGTGCTCCAAAGGAATCCTTCCTTTGTATCATGCTTACCTTTGATGTTCTCCTTTGGATACCACCTTTGAAAGTAAGGTGGCAGCTGGGAAAGTGGGGGTGGGGGCAGGCTTCTCAGTGCCAGTTCCTGCTGAATTTCCTCCTTTGGGAGGTTTCTGTGGCATTAGTACTGTTCTCTGTCAAGCAAAAATATCTAATTTTAATGATAACAGGCTTTTAAATGTTTTTCAAAAACTTTTCTATCTCTGACCTTTATGTTTTCTTTCAATTTATTTTTATTTTATGTTTTTTCCTTTTGGTAAACTGCTCTGGAAGGCTATACTTAAGGGAGCTTATATATTTTAAAATAAAAATAAATAATTGAAACTGTAAGGTAGTCTCTTGTTTGTCATGAGAATTGTCTTCTGATCTTGCTAGGATCTCAGTCTAAGTTCTTGGAGCACATACACAGTTCTGAGTTTTCCTGCAGCTGTTTATGCGTCTTAAATAGGTAGAAGTGGGAGGTGCTCCATACAACCACACAGAGAAATTCTTATCCACATGAAGAGCAGAAGGAGAGATCATGTTTCTTTTGTAGATTGCTGAAGGAGTGCCAGGAGAAAAGTCCTGCAGAAAACAGAAGGACCAAGCCCTGGAGTAGAATCCTATCTGTTTATTAAAATCAAGAGCAGTGAGACAGGATAGCCTGGTACAAGTTATTTCAGCATGGTGAAGTAGATAAGACAGTCTATTCTAAAATATACCTATGTACTTTGTACTGAAGAAAGAAGTTCTGTACAGAAAGAAAACAAATAATTGCTTATTTATTTTGCTTTGAAATATTTACAAGGTAATGCCTTTGAGGTAGTACAGGTTTCCATACTTCTGAGGCTAAGCAGGTGGAGACTTCTCAGCAAACCAGATCTGTTTCATAGATACTTGAAGAATAACAACAAAATAAGCAGAATTAAAACAAAACTAACAATTGTGGGAAATGAGAGGCTGAAGTTACCACTTGCAGTGCTCTCCTACTTTTGCCATCACAGAGATTTTGGTAACTATGCAAGCATTTATCTTCTGGGTTTGCAAGAAAAAAAATAGTTGGACTAATATTTTCAATATATTTTTTACACAAGGGTAGCTTGTTTTAATTTACCGACAGAGAATAGTACAGGCCCTCAATGGAACTGTCCCTGGCTCCCACCGATACTGAATAGCTTTTTTTTTTTTTTAATTGGAATGATATACTGTCTATTAGAACACTCTTTACAATAATCTTTCTTGGTCTTTTTTTTTATAGCAATATTAATGCAGCTTACTAGATAAAAACGTGCGGCCTGTAGTATGTATAATGTTGCTTTATCTTCAGGCACAATGAAGCCTGAAATTGTAGCAGCTGATGCACCAAGATTTCTGGGGATCTATGAGGTAGATTGTACATCCACCCACAAATTTAAGCCACTTCATGTATTGATGGGTAGCTGGTTAGCCTATGAGTTTAAAGGAATCTAGAAAAATGTGAATCCTTACATAACTACCAAGGATTTTTCTAATGAGACTCTGAAGTAAGTTTCCCTTTACTTTAATAGGTTGAGCAATTCGTTATTGATTAGACTTTTAACCTGCCTTTCATTCAGGAGCTCCAGGCAGTGGTATTTCTTCCCAACAATAACCCTGAGAGATGGATTGAGAGAATGGTTAGCCCAAAATTAGCCAATGCACCTCCATGACTGACGGTGGAGTAGGACATGCATCTTCCTGCTCCAAGCCCCAAACTATACAACATCAGCTCTCACAGAACATAAACATACATTACCCTTCAAAGATAATTTTCTGTCCCTATGAATATGCAAGACTCAAGGTGCATTTGCTCTCCAATTGGGAATTTAACTGCTACAGACTCAGCACATTTCTAAACAGAGGGGTAGTCTAACCCTGCCAAGAGAATTACTGGAAAACAAGAACAATCCTAGATAAACAGGAAGAATTGAAACCTTTGAAAGCTTTTATTTGCTGAGATTTGAAAAACTGCACTACTAGAAATCCTAATAGTTTGAAAATGGAAAAGGAGAGACTATTTTTTATCCTTCTGTAGAAACTGAATTTGCTTATTGAGTATAAAAATTAGTAATACTTAGTCATACTCTACAGTTTTATGTCTGCAATATGTTACTGTAATTCACATCTCATAAAGTCTGTGCAGCTGTCATGTAGTAGAAATACAGAGGAAAAACTACAGTACTCCATTATGGTATTATCATTTCGTTTGCCACAATAATCTTTTGTCTGCTGCAGTGTTATTTTTAAATTTCTGTATGAACTAACTACCGAGTAACTGCACTGAAATATAATTTGGGAATATGGTTATTAATACTGATAATTGTGAACAAGTGGGAACTGCAGCAGTCTCTTAAAAATCAAATGCTCATTTTAGACATTTAAAATTGTTATAACAATCTTATGTGTAGCTCATTTCAAATACAAAAGCTGCAATCCAGGATGGTACTATACTTTAGTAAAGAACTAGCTGTGTATTCAAGATATTTCCTTGGATTTATGCTAACTCCTGAGCAAGAAGTAACTTTTATTGAACTGTGGGTGGTCTTTTCAGCAGTGGAATCACAGTTGAAATAATTTCAAGCCAGAGTTAGCTGTCTATCACTATTCTCTCTCTCCTCTCCTCTCCTCTCCTCTCCTCTCCTCTCCTCTCCTCTCCTCTCCTCTCCTCCCCTCCCCTCTCCTCTCCTCTTCCTCTTCCTCTTCCTCTTCCTCTTCCTCTTCCTCTTCCTCTTCCTCTTCCTCTTCCTTCCCTTCTCTTCCCTTCCCTTCCCTTCCCTTCTTTGTTTTTCAGGCTTCTTTGCAATAGGACTTGAGTAAAGTTTGTATGGAATTTAGCAATTTCTATGGCATTCTATTTAATGTCTTTTATGCTGTAGTTACTAATTTGCTATCTCTATATATAATAGTCTTAAATGAAAGGCTATAAACTTTTCTAGTCTTGCCATTGCCCAGGTGGGAATACAAAACAACTATTATCAGCTTAAATTATACTCATTTCCCCTAAACATTTCCCTAAACATCTACTAGGTGTTTGACAACACCTGCTAGGAAAGGTTGCAGATGCTAAAGGCAATACTGCACACATTTATTAAGCACCATTAAAATCTTCTGGACTTTTGACTAATAACTTTCATACATACAAAATGATAGTCATAGAAAATTGCATCCTGTATGGGTAGGTCTCCATTAGTGCTGATAATGAATCCCATGAAATGGTTGCATGATTCGAATTCACACTATTTGAAGTAATATTTCTATGGAAAATAGGGTAATTGGTTCCACCTCAATGGAAATAGGCAGTGAAAATTTTTTAATATAAAATTTTATATGTTTATTAATGAAATATAACAGTAGCAGATTAAAAGAATATACTTATAACTTAAATATAGTTACAGGGTAGAGACCAAGCTAAATCCAAAAACGCTAGGGAATTCCTGGAAGTTTGGCATTCAGACAAATCAGCCATTATAGTCACCCTCCAGGGGAGATGGGCTGCATACAAATTTAATAAATAAATAAATAACTATACATATAGAGATAAACCACACTTACATACCATTCAAAAATAAATAAAAAAGCTAAAAAGGAAGCAAAAAGACTAGAACACATCCTTTCCAGTAGCCTACACTTAGATAAGCAGGGATTAACACCAGACAAACAATCAAGCAGAAAATAATACCCTAATCAAGAAACTATCAAGGAGAAAACTGCACCCCCACCAACACTGGCAGGGCAAGCTACTGTATATAAACAGGGAGAAAATCCCACACTCACCAGCATTGATGATGTTACCTAGTTGGGTAATGAAACCTCTACGAGCAAACAACCAAGCTCAGAGAGCACCAAAGAGTCTCCAGTCACAGAAAAGTTATAGAAAGCAAAATAAAAGCAAAAACATTCTAAATATCATTCCTAAAGGTAAGCTTACACTGACAAAAACATATTTACTGTCTTTCAAAATATTTGAAAGTGTTTTGGCAGAAAGTTCAGTAGTCAAAATATTGGAGATCTTGTTGCCATATCCACCAGGAGTCAAGCTCAACAAAATTCAGTTTTTGTTTTTGTTTTTTTAGATTAGGTGTGGTCTGTACAAGGAGCTTCTGGTTTACAACTATTGAGACAACTTGAATAAAGTTTCCAAAAATTTATTCTTAAAAATAATTTCTGTTCTAGAAAACTTAATGAGGCCTCTTGTGAACTATGGAATTGCATGGTAAGCCCTTTCTTTCTTTTTATCTATTTACTTTTTATATTTTACTGTTTGTATCATGCTAAATGTTGGAAAAATGCCTTTAATTCTAGTATGTCTATGGGTTTCTTGGTGGAAGAGACTGCACCAATTGTCTGGAGAGGACTCATGGTAATGTCAGCTATAGAGAAATTACTGAGACAGGTAAAAAGTTGTTTTACATTCTTGCTTTCATTAGTGATTATAATAATACAGTAGAACAGTTTCTAGTCATGCTTATATCAAATACAAAATCACTATTTTAATAAAATACAGAAGTATTGAAAACATAATAGCAAAACATTTTGCTGAGTCAGTAAATATACCATCCAATATTTAAAATTAAACATAATTATTCTGTCTTCAAACTTTCTGCAGATGTTGACTTCAGCTGGAATGAATATAGCATAATATAATATAATATAATATAATATAATATAATATAATATAATATAATATATGGCCATTGACACTTTTAGATCCTGATCTACAACAGAGAAATTCCATAGCTATAAGGAAAGGCAAGGAAAGCATATGTTTTGACTACAGAAGTTTTTGGTTTTTTTTACTAAATCTCTGAGATCTTCTGATAGGTCTAGGAAAGACTTCTGTCTGAAACCCCAGAGAGTTTCTGGCACTCATTATAAGCCAGCCTTCCTCAACTTGACACCTTTCAAATGTATTGGATCTATAGCAACCAACAACTCCCATATCTATATAATCTTTCTTCCTGCCTTCTAACAGATGTCTGATATTTTTCTGAACTGCAAACCAAAAGTTTGACCTTTTAGTTACCTTGTTTTGAATGCATCTATCACTAATAAAGAAACTGTATGTGACATCATAGAGTTCGGGCTTTTTCATCCTATAAGTGAGGCACAGTAATAAAACTCAACATCTGATGACAAAAGATGTAACATTTAACAATACTAGTCATCATGGAGGAAAGTGGGGGACATTAATGGCTACTTTTTCCATCTGTTGAAATGCTTTACTTTATTCCAAAATCTTAAATGTAAGATCTTTCCGTATATTGTTAAAGGCAATCTTTTGTGGCAACTACTTGGGACAGTAGGAAAAAAAATTTTTTTCCTAATATTGGGCACACAGAACTTAATCCAATATTGCACAAGCAGAAGCCCTAATGGCATGGTGAGATTTTCTATTCCTCTCCTCTGACCCCACTCTGGAGCCCTCCCATTCTGTTGCAGAGCTTCCAAAGAAAATTCTCTTCTCTTCTTTTTTGAGCTCTCCTCGAATGGAACCTTCCTCTTCTCCATTTGGCACAAATGACAATTAGCAGCAACTCTAACTCTAAACTGTGCATGCACTAGCCTCACTAGTGCTAGCTTTGCACTAATTGAATTTTGGCTCACATTAAGCACAACCTGGCATCAGTTTATAAATCACACTAAACCAAATATTGCACTATTCAAACTCGTACTAATCGCTACCTACGTGCATAGATGCAAACTCCCCCAGTAATCCTAACCCTCTGCAATAGTCATGCTGGCTGGGTAATTCTGGAGGGCACCAAGCTGGGAAAAAGTTTCACTAATGGAAGACCAATAACAGAGAATATCTGTAGCTCAGGGTTGAACTGTGGAGTCCTTGCTGCTCTCTCAGCTTGGTTGTTTGATTGCAGACATTTCATTACCCGACTAGGTAACTTCTAATGATGTTACCTAGTCAGGTAACGAAGTGTCTGCAATCAAACAACTAAGCTCAGAAAGCACCAAGGACTCCACTAATGGAAGAATTTCCATCAGTGGAAGTGGAACATTGGATTCCTATCATAAATGTTTTTAATATACTTGTCAGGGATTGGAGTAGGGAAGACCTGATTGCATATGGTGCTATTCTGAAGTTAGAATCAGAACAGAATGTAAGGGTGCTAATGGTGGTATTTACTTTTCTAAGGAGACCAAGGATTAATTGATTATGGGGAAGAGACGTGGAGCGTTGCAGAAAATACAATATTACTTTACTCAATGGAATTCCCAGTTGGGAAGCAGATGGCAGTTTCTTCTCATGCATTTTGATAATGGTATATACTGAGTCGGTTGTTACCTAGCAACTAAAGAAATAGTTTTACTCTACCACATCTAGAAGCAAAAAGAAATATAGTCCCTTGACATAAGGCCATTAATGATTTTCCCATAGTTGATTGCAGAAAGCTTTAATGAGGATTTTCCCTCTAATCAGGCTTTTTTTCTCTTTTGTGTACGAACTAGGAATTTTTAATCCTGTCTCAGGATAATCTGGGTTTCCTTCTCAGTTTGCCTGAAGATCCAGGAAAGAAAATAAAATCTGTTTTATTACCAGACAATTGATATAATTTATTACACTCTTTAAAGAGTTATAAACCTTACTGTTTATAGCAGTACCTTATTACCTGTAGTTTGTTTATTAATTTTCTGATCAGAGTATTTTGAGATGGAGTTATTCAGGCATCCTATGCATTAATTTAAATAAATTGTTTTGTTTCAATGTAATGTTCCTAAATCTCTCCCCACCTTTTCTCACCAGATTAGGACTATTATTTTTATATTTAAATATTTTTTGTAGATCTTAATCTTCTAGATATCTTTATCTATCTATCCATCTATCTATCTGATCTGGAAGAAATAGCTCCTCTTTTTCTGGTGGCAAATAAACTTAAATTACTTCTTTAATCTTGGATCATGATATAATACATTGAGTTTAAAGGGGTCCAAGACAGGCATATGAAAAATAAAGAAGTTAAGAAAATTAAGTCAATCAGACATAATATACTTAATGCATTTTATTGCAGCCAAGAGGAGTTTTGAAATATAAACCTGCCTTATAATGGTGTGTCACAGAACATTATCAAGTATGGCAACTGGATTAGGTAATATAGATATTCTCAAGACATCAGAGGTAGAATTTAATTGTACTCTTATCAATACATTTGAAACAGCAGATAAATGTGTTGCGATAAATTAAATGGATAGCAATATCTGCTCTTTCGTTACTAAGATGTTAACATATGTAGATCATTGTCATTGACAGCACATTTTTAATTGGATTTCAGTTTTACATAAATAAAAGTAAATGTTAAAATTTGAGCTACAGTTTTGATTTCACAAAATGTTTGTAATAGACATAGCGCAAGTAATTGCTGTGCAGTGATATACAGTGGGGCAAAAAAGTATTTAGTCAGCCACCAATTGTGCAAGTTCTCCCACTTAAAAAGATGAGAGAGGCCTGTAATTTTCATCATAGGTATACCTCAACTATGAGAGACAAAATGGGGAAAAAAATCCAGAAAATCACATTGTCTGATTTTTAAAGAATTTATTTGCAAATCATGGTGGAAAATAAGTATTTGGTCACCTACAAACAAGCAAGATGTCTGGCTTGTCTGATTTTTAAAGAATTTATTTGCAAATCATGGTGGAAAATAAGTATTTGGTCACCTACAAACAAGCAAGATGTCTGGCTTGTCTGATTTTTAAAGAATTTATTTGCAAATCATGGTGGAAAATAAGTATTTGGTCACCTACAAACAAGCAAGATGTCTGGCTTGTCTGATTTTTAAAGAATTTATTTGCAAATCATGGTGGAAAATAAGTATTTGGTCACCTACAAACAAGCAAGATGTCTGGCTTGTCTGATTTTTAAAGAATTTATTTGCAAATCATGGTGGAAAATAAGTATTTGGTCACCTACAAACAAGCAAGATGTCTGGCTTGTCTGATTTTTAAAGAATTTATTTGCAAATCATGGTGGAAAATAAGTATTTGGTCACCTACAAACAAGCAAGATGTCTGGCTTGTCTGATTTTTAAAGAATTTATTTGCAAATCATGGTGGAAAATAAGTATTTGGTCACCTACAAACAAGCAAGATGTCTGGCTTGTCTGATTTTTAAAGAATTTATTTGCAAATCATGGTGGAAAATAAGTATTTGGTCACCTACAAACAAGCAAGATGTCTGGCTTGTCTGATTTTTAAAGAATTTATTTGCAAATCATGGTGGAAAATAAGTATTTGGTCACCTACAAACAAGCAAGATGTCTGGCTTGTCTGATTTTTAAAGAATTTATTTGCAAATCATGGTGGAAAATAAGTATTTGGTCACCTACAAACAAGCAAGATGTCTGGCTTGTTTGTAGGTGACCAAATACTTATTTTCCACCATGATTTGCAAATAAATTCTTTAAAAATCAGACAATGTGATTTTCTGGATTTTTTTCCCCATTTTGTCTCTCATAGTTGAGGTATACCTATGATGAAAATTACAGGCCTCTCTCATCTTTTTAAGGGGGAGAACTTGTACAATTGGCGGCTGACTAAATACTTTTTTGCCCCACTGTATTTCTGTTGCAGTTTGTACACTGTTTAGCTTTTAGGATCTTTCAGACTAGATAACAATCATCATTCAGCACTAAGAATCTTATTTATTGCAATAAATAAGAAAGGTGCCAATATTAACATGTAACAGAATATTTATCATTGTAAAGAATATAAAGTATAAATTCTCATGAAGGAATGTGGATGATATATCTAACTTTTTTGCAT